TTTTTTTTTTTTTTTTTGAGTCTCACTCTGTTGCCCAGGCTGGAGTGCAATGGCACCATCTCGGCTCACTGCAGCCTCTGCCTGCCAGGTTCAAGTGATTCTCCTGCCTCAGCCTCCCGTGTAGCAGGGACTACAGGCGTGCCACCATTCTCAGCTAATTTTTGTATTTTTAGTAGGGACGAGGTATCATCATCTTGGCCAGAATGGTCTTGAACTCCTGACTTTGTGATCCACCTGCCTCGGCTTTCCAAAGTGCTGGGATTACAGGCATGAGCCACCGAGCCTGGCCTTGAATTTTTTTTTAGTAGAGACGCACGTCTCATTCTGTTGTTCAGGCTGTCTTGAACCCCTGGTCTCAAGCTGTTCCCTGGCCTCAGCCTCCCAAGTAGCTGGGATTACAGGTATGTATGACTAGCTCAGCTAACATTTTTGTTGTTGTTTTTTTAATTTTTGTTCTTCACTTTTTGTTTCTGTTTTGTTTATATCTTTCTTTTTTTTTTTTTTTTTTTTTTGAGATGGAGTTTTGCTTTTGTTGCCTAGACTGGAGTGCAGTGGCACAGTCTCAGCTTACTGAAAACTCTGCTTCCCAGGTTTAAGCAATTCTCCTGTCTCAGCCTCCCATGTAGCTGGAATTACAGGTGCCCAATTACAGGAATTACAGGAATTACAGGCATGGAATTACCATGCCTGGCTAATTTCTGTATTTTTAGGAGAGACGGGGTTTCACCATGTTGGCCAGGCTAGTCTCAAACTTCTGATCTCAGGTGATCCACCCACCTCAGCCTCCCAGAGTGTTGCGATTACAGGCGTGAGCCATTGTACCTGGCCTGTTTTGTTTTTAACTTAAAAAAAAATTTATTCAGCCAGTCACCAACAGCTCATGTTTTTAAAAATAAAAATTTTTTATTTCCTTTGCAGGAAAATCCTACATTTATTCTGAATGTATAGAATTCCCTGCCCTGCCATCTACCAATTTTTTTTTTTTTGAGTCAGAGGTTTCTTCTTGTTGCCCAGGCTGGAGTGCAATGACCGGATCTTGGCTTACTGCAACCTCAGCCTCCCGGGTTCAAGTGATTCTCTTGCCTCAGCCTCCCAAATAGCTGGAATTACAGGCACATGCCACCATGCCTGGCTAATTTTTTGTATTTTTAGTAGAGACGGGGTTTCACCATGTTGGCCAGGCTGGTTGCGAACTCCTGACCTCAGCCTCCCAAAGTGCTAGGATTATAGGCATGAGCCACCAGGCCAATGTTTTTTTAACAGCCTTTGGAAGATAGTGTTTGGCTGCAAAGGCCTATCTAGAGGAAAGGTCATGTGATCCTTCAGAGGGCCCTTGAATATTCGAGATCCTTCAGAGAGTCTGAATATTTGGTAGCTTTGACTAGAGGAAATTACTTTTCTTCTCTGAGGCTGTTTGCTCAGTTGTGTGATGTGGATAATGATACGTCTTTCATAGGATTTTGTGAGGAAAATGTATAGCCATGCCTGACAGCAGGTATTCAGTGATGACAGCTTGTGTTAGTATTATGTTCATAATGCAGCAAGGAGAAGTAGGAGGAGTTACTAGGTTTTAGTGTGGCTTAAAGAACATGGCTGTAAGAGGGTGTAAAATGAGAAGTGATACAACCACTGCCTGACACTGGAATTGTTGCAAAGTTGTAATTCCCTCTGTGAGACGCTGCACAGACACTATTGACTGCTAAGGACACATTAATCTCTCTAAGTGTCTTGGCTTGTCAACCTTGGCTCTTCCGTAGATCAAGTTGGGATTTTTCCAAACAACTGTGTTTGGAATTTAAGGAAGTATTTTAGGAGACCCCCCTCAGAGAGAGCTCAAAAACAAAGAAATGGGTTAGTTTACTGAACAGAGATTTCAGACTAAGATAACTATAGCCCTGTCACAGCTTGCTGCGGCCAGTACAGCTTAGTGGATATCTACTTACTTATTCCAATCCTAACTAGAATCTTTTCCTTATTTTATTTTTTATTTTTATTTTTTTTTTGAGATGGAGTCTGACTCTGTTGCCAGGCTGGAGTGCAGTGGTATGATCGCAGCTCACTGCAACCTCTGCCTCCCGAGTTCAGGTGAATTCTCCTGTCTCAGCCTCCTGAGTAACCGGAATTACAGGTGCCCGCCAACACACCTGGCTTATTTTTGTATTTTTAGCAGAGATGGGGTTTTACCATGTTGGCCAGGTGGTCTTGACTTCCAACCTCAGGTGATCCACCTGCCTTGGCCTCCCAAAGTGCTGGGATTACAGGCCTGAGCCACCATGTCCACCTCCTTTTCCTTATTTGGATGTTTGTCCAACTACTGTGGCTGTCTGTTTCTTATTTAAGCCAAATTATTTATTCTTTTACTCAGCAAACATTAACTTGATAAGTCCCAGTAATATTAACTGCTTAGGGATCTAGTCCTAGCTTTTGGAAAGGAAAAGAGAAAAGCCAAAAAGTTGTTTTTACCCTCCGACTAGCTAACTTTTAAAAATTGTAATTGAATAGCAGTACTTGCTTATAGGCTGCTGATCCAGGAGTGGACACTGATTTGTAGAAAAGTTTTATTGGTGGTACTTCTGAAGGAATGGGCACGTGATTCATCCCATGTGATTCAAAACTCTGAAGAAGCAATTCCATCACAACTTTGAGCTCTGGTTGAGTATTTGCATATTAGTATTAACCCAGAGCCTCTGGATTTTAACCAACTAAAAAGTTAATATCAAAACTGATAGAGGAAAAGGTAGCCAAATCTCATTAAAACTTAACTAGCTGGGCAGGCATGGTGGCTCATGCCTGTAATCCCAGCATTTTGGGAGGCCGAGATGGGTGGATCACCTGAGGTCAGGCATTCAAGACCAGCCTGGCCAACATGGCAAAACCCCGTCTGTAATAAAATACAAAACTAGCTGGGTATGGTGACACATGCTGTGATCTCAGCTACTTGGGAGGCTGAGGCAGGGGAATCGCTTGAGCCTGGGAGGCGGAGGTTGCAGTGAACCGAGACTGTGCCATTGCATTCCAGCCTGGGGCAAGAAGAGTGAAGCTCCATCTCAAAAAAAACAAAAACAAAAACTAAACAAAAACTAGCAAAACAAGCTGAGCGTGGTGGCTCATGTCTGTAATCCCAACACTTTGGGATGCTGAGGCGGGCGGATCACTTGAGGCCAGGAATTTGAGACCAGCCTGACCAATATGGTGAAACCCCATCTAGTTAAAAATATGAAAATTAGCTGGGCATGGTGGCAGGTGCCTATAATCTCAGCTACTTGGGAGGCTGGGGCAGGAGAATCGCTTGAACGTGGGAGACAGAGGTTGCAGTGAGCCTAGATTGTGCCTCCACACTCCAGCCTGGGTGACGGAGTGAGATGCTATTAGAAAAACAAAAAACTTAACTAGCAAAACAAATTATAAGTAGCACTAGGAAACTGGAAAGTTAATTAGTGAGCTGGAGTGAGGCCATATGGCAATATAGTTAATTATTTTTTTAATTAAAGATTAAATAATCCCATTTCCCAAACATTTTTGCTGACATTTTCGAGGATATTGTGTGTGTGTGTGTGTGTGTGTGTGTGTGTGTGTATCCACATATATATATTCATTGTAGAAAAAAATTACTACTAAATAAGATGAATAAAAAGAAGAATCAACTGTAATGACATCATTGAGAGTTAACTGCTAAAAACAGGAATTTAAGTCCTCTTAGTGTCCCATGGGATGAATTGGCTGTGATTTATTTAACTCACTGATTTTTAGTAACAGCACAGATGCTGAGGCTGGTCCCTGAAATCTTCCTTCAGTTGCTCGGGCCCTGATACCTGAACTTTTTGGAAGCTCTGCAGCCAGGTTAAGAGCTACTAATAAGGAATCCCATGTTACACAAAGGTGCTTGACATATGTATAGTATCATACCCCATAAAATAAGAATCCTTACGAGCGATAGGGAGAGTGAGGAATGGGAGCAGCTGCTTCCTGGTTTCATTTTGGGGTGACAAGAATGTTTTGGAACTAGAGAGGTGGTTGCACTACATTGTGAATGTAGTATGTGCTACTCAATTTTCACTTTAAAATAGTTTGTGTTGTATGAATTTCACCTCAGTAAACTGCTCCTCCCAAATCATTGAACACTGTCTTTGTATACTGTTTGTTGGAAAAGTAAATTACTGTTTAGATTGACTACCTTCTGAATATTATATTTTCTCTTGAGCTTTTTCTCTCAAATTAAGCACAGTTTTTCTTGTTTATAAAATGTATTCTGCCAGGCATGGGGGCTGTAATCCCAGTGACTCTGGAGGCTGAGGTGGGAGGATCACTTTAGACTAGCATTTGAGACCACTCTGGGCCTGTTAACATAGTAAGACTCCATCTCTATAAAATATAAAAGGATTAGCCAGGTGTGGTGGCATGCACCTGTAGTTCCAGCTATTTGGGAGGCTGAGGTGGGAGCCCAGGAGTTCAAGGCTGCAGTGGGCTATGATCATGCCTGTGAGTAGCCACAGTGCTCTAGCCTGGACGGCAGAGGGAGATTTTATCTCTTAAGAAAAAAAGGAAAGAGAGTGATGCAGGTTCTCAGCAGTACCTGTTTGATTCTGCTTAGTAATATCTTCTCTTTAATTAAAATTAATAGATTATCTTAAATCATCACAACCTCCTTGTGGATTCTTTATTTTTAAAATGATCTCACTCCTTTATGATAGTATTCACCTTCAGGTTATAGGAGAAAGAATGCCTGGGGTCAGAATGCTTTGGGCTGGAGGCCCAGCTCTGCCCCCATCAGATGCGGCCTTAGGCAAGGCACCTGGTGAGACTGGGTTTCATAGTCTGTCTGTAGGAATGGTAATATTTGTCCTCCAATCCAAAACTTTTTGAGAGGATCCACTGAAATCACTTAGATCATTTTGTTAGTTACAATAATTTAATGTGACCCCGTTATGTAGTTATTTGTATTAGTTTGTTCTCATGCTGCTAATAAAGACATACCTGAGACTGGGTAATTTATGAAGGAAAGGTGAAATGGACTCACAGTTCCACATGGCTGGGGAGGTCTCACAATCATGGCAGAAGGTGATGGAGGAGCAAAGGCATGTCTTACATGGCAGCAGGCAAGAGAGTGTGTGCAGTGGGTCTGCCCTTTATGAAACCATTAGTTCTTGTGAGACTTATTCACTATCAGAATACTAGCATGGGAAAATCCTGCCCCCATGATTCAATTACCTCCCGCTGGGTCCCTCTCTTGACATGTGGGGATTCTGGGAGCTATAATTCAAGATGAGATTTGGGTGGGGACACAGCCAAACCATATCACTATTCTTTTGCCCTTTTTTTTCTTTTTTTGAGCTGGGGGTTTCACTATGTTGGCCAGGCTGGTCTTGAGCTCCTGGGCTCAAGCCATCCTTTCAGGGACTACAGATGAATGCCATTACACCCAGCTTTGTTTTGCTTTTTAATCTGCAATCAGCTAAGTCTGAGAATGGGTTGAGGAAGTTAGTACTGGATGGTAAATGAATTATTGGATTTATTAATAATATGTTCTTACAGTCTCTAACTTACAATGTTAATTATTATAAGAGTTATGAATTTAATAAGGCTAAGAATTACTTAAGTGCAGTTATTAAATATTTTCAAGGATAATAGGGGGATAAGAGGAGTCTTTTGGGAGAGGGCTTGCTCTTTCGTACTGAAATGCATAAAAACATACAGTGGTTTTCATGTTTCATTCTTAGAGAACCTTCTATTTTACTCATTTGTAACTGCTCTGAATTTGGTTGATATCCATAATAGATTTATTCAAGGTGCCCTATAGGGTCCTAGTGTTGGAAACTGACATTCTGGGCATTGGTGACTCATGGTAGCCCTCTCCTGGGGAAAGGAGACTTTGGAAATTCCCAAATACAGGCAAAGTAAAAATGTTGGGCATATTGCTTGCCAATAATGACTGAAAAGTTAGACATTTTATTTTAAACCAACAGTGGCTGTAGTTGATAGTATATATACAAAAGTGTATTAGTCGTATGAGTCTCCTGTTAATGAGCATAGGTCAGATTTACCAGCTCTAATTGCATACACCTGCAGAACATGTCATGAACGTGAGAGCCCTGAGCTGTGGCATGTGAGTACATGTCATAGTGAGCAAGGTCTTATTAAGGAAAAGGAAGGTGGAGGGCAACATTTGTGAATGTCTTTATTTTTATTTTATTTTATTTTATTTTTTAAAAATAAAGACGGGGTTTCACCGTGTTGATCAGGCTGGCCTTGAACTCCCAACCTGAGGTGATCCGCCCGCCTTGGCCTCCAAAGTGCTTGGATTACAGGCATGAGTCGACACGCCCGGCCATGAGAATACATGGGCACAGGAGGGGAATGTCACACACTGGGGTCTTTTGGGGGGTGGGGGGCTAGGGGAGGGAGAGCAGAGGGTGGGGAGGTTGGGGAGGGATAGCACTGGGAGAATGCCTGATGTAGGTGACGGGGTGATGGAGACAGCAAACCACCATGGCATGTGTGTTTCTATGCAACAGTCCTGCAAGATCTGCTCATGTACCCCAGAACTTAAAGTATATTTTAAAATATATTAAAATATATATATATACAGTTTAATCCCCACAATAGGCCTACAGGTTGGCATTTATTTAGCTTAGTGAATAAAATGTGGCTGTACCCCTAATTGGTTGTGTTGCCTGCTGCAGTGATGATGGTGTTGACAAAGAAAAATCGAGACTTGGGTTAGCAGGAACTTCTCTAGGAAGGGTGTGGGGTGGCTCTGACCCCAAAGTCAGCATCTTTTCTCATGCCAAGCTGCCTCACAGCTGGTAACATAATAAGGCTAAGAGAAGCGAGCTGATGTTTATAGAATGTAGACTACAAGTAGCCTGTGGTGGCTGGGCCTGGTGGCTCTCACCTCCATTCCCAGCACTTTGGGAGGCCAGGGCTGGAACATTACTTGAGCCCAGAGTTTGAGAGCAGTCTATAGAAAATACAAGAATTAGGCGGGCATGGTGGTATGTGCCCGTGGTCCCAGCCACTTGGGAGGCTGAGGTGGGAGGATCACGTGAGCCCAGGAGGTAGAGGTCGCTGTGAGCCATGTTTGTGCCACTCTACTCCAGGCTTTGTGATGGAGTGAGACCTTGTCTTAAAAAAAACAACCACACAAAAAAGAAGTAGCTTATATTTTTAAGTAATTGCCATTTTACCTTATGACACAAGTTTGCAACATTCTTCTGCTGCAGCGTACCTGAGGGATGTGATGCCCCCATAAGGACCCACTAAGACAGAGGTGAAACAATAGCAAATACTTAAGTTTGTTTTTGTTTTGACACAGGGTCTTACTATGTTGCCTAGGCTGGTTTTAAACTCCTGGGCTGAAACAACTACCTTGGCCTCCCACAATGCTTGGATTACAGGCATGAGCCATCATGCTCACTGCAAATACTTATTGTGGTGAAGTATTTCGAACAAATTTAAGATAAAATAGATTTCCCAGAAAACAGCTTCCAGTGTGCTACACTGAATACATACACACATACCAAGGTATCGGTGTAGCTCATGACCTCTTGAGGTCAGAGTAAAAACTAAGACCACTGATAAAGTGAGATTCAAAATTGCTAATTTGGGGTTTAGGAAATAGGGGTGCTTTGCTTTATTAAGGGGGGTTTTGGTGATAGCACTTGATAGCACTTTCCAAATAAAATCCAGGGGAAGAGCCTGGAGAAGAAACTGCCTGTGTGAGAAGTTACAGCTTTGTAACATCTTACTGTTGTGTCCAGGAAAAACTGCGTTGGAGGTGATGTTCCTATAAATCAAAGAAGAGACAGCGTGAGAATGTCGGCCCTCAACTGGAAGCCGTTTGTCTACGGGGGGCTGGCCTCCATCACAGCCGAGTGCGGTAAGGACCTGAAGGTGGTGGGTCACGTAGCCTGCTGTGGTTGATGATGTTTGATGTGAATGTCGTTCAAGTGTAGAATGTGAGATGATGAAATGTTTATCTCAGAATTCAAAATGCCTTTTAGCTGGGTGTGATGACTCACGCTTATAACCTCAGGACTTTAGAAGGCTGAGGCAGAGGGATCCCTTGAGTCTAGGAGTTCGAGACCGGCCTGGGCAACATAGTGAGACCTCGTCTTTATTTAAAAATAAATAAATAAAATTAACCAGGTGTGGTGGCACGGGCCTGTAGTCCCTACTACTCGGGAGGCAGAGGTGGGAGAATTGCTTGAGCACAGGAGGTCGAGGCTGCAGTGAGCCGCGTGTACAACACTGCACTCCAGCCTGGGTAACAGTGAGACTCAGTTCTCTCCCCCCAAAACATTTATTTTGGTAAGGTTTAAGACAAAATAGTCATTTTGACTACTTTAGCAGTTCAGGGTTCAAAGTTTAGTGGAAAGAAAGTTGATCCTGTTGACCAAAACCAAGTTTTAAAAAATTTTTTGTTTTGAAACAGGGTCTTGCTCTGTTGATGAGGCTGGAGTGCAGTGGTCTGATCTTGGCTTACTGCAGCCTCCTCCTCCCATGCTCAGGCGGTTCCCCCACCAGAGTCTCCTGAGTAGGTGGGACTACAGATGTGTACCACCATGCCTGACTAATTCTTGTATTTTGAGTACAGATGGAGTTTTGCCATGTTGCCCAGGCTGGTCTCAACTCCCAAGTTCAAGAGATCCACCCGCCTTGGCCTCCCAAAGTGAGGGATTACAGGTGTGAGCCACTGCGCCCAGCCCCAAACACAAGTTTCATGAATCATTTTTGGATTGTGTCTGTCTCCGTTTTTCTTGTCCTTTCCCCAGCTTTGTCACTGTTAACCTGTTTGGCTGTAAAGAGGTTTGAGAAGCTCACAGGTGTCCCCTGAGCCAGATGAGACGGACTGTAGTTATCTAGTCACTTTCTGATGATGCACATTATCCAGTTCCCATTTGTGACTTCATTGGTTGGGTTCCACATCAGGTTCTGTTTGTTTATTCTCTGGAATCATTGATTCAACAAACACTGATTGAGCAGCCGTTGAATGCCCAGTGCTGGGTTGGACACATCATTGCTTGCAGGGCTCAGTCATTGCTGTCCAAGGACAGAATACCGCCCTTGTGGGGCTGGTGAGAATTGAAGCCAAGGGGTGAGCGGGACGAGCCGTGGTAACCACCAACTCACCAGCTTAGGTTCTCTGTGCTGGTGGGCTTTCCCGTAGACACAGTGAATCAAGATTACTGTCTGAGGATGGATTTTATATATTTAGGTGGACTATCTGTTAGGTACAATAATTAACATATCTATCTGCATTGTCAGATTTATTTTATTTTATTTTGGAGATAGATTCTTACTCTGTCACCCAGTCTGGCGTACAGTGGTGCAGTCTCGGCTCGCTGCAACCTCTGCCTCCTGGGTTCAGGCAATTTTCCTGCCTCAGCCTCCCAAGTAGCTGGGGTTACCGGTGCATGCCACCACACCCAGCTAATTTTTGTATTTTTAGTAGTGATGGGGTTTCACCATGTTGGCCAGGCTGGTGTTGAACTCCTGACCTGGGTGATCTGCTTGCCTCAGCCTCCCAAAAGTGTGAGCTACTGAGCCTGGCACTGATTAATTTTAGAGCATAAAACACTCTCCCAAGTGGAAAGCCCCTTTAGAAAATGAACTTTTTTACCTCTGTTCAAATTCAACGCAATTTTAACCTTCACTTATATACAGAATAGTAACTTAGGTTTTTAAATGGATTTCCTGTTTAGGTAAATCATTCTGTGTATCTGCTTTCTACAAGGCAGCCTACCCAAATCCTGTGTAGAATAAGATGAGGTATAAATAAAAAGATAAAGGAAAATATATCTATGCATTTTTTGGGGTTTTATTATCTTTTGATTCCTGAATTTTTAAAAATAGAACAAGATTGCAAAGTGCCATTTCTTAATCACTTTATTAGTTCACATTATAGTCTAAATGTTTCCTCAGTAATATATCACTATGTATCCTTTATTTAGTGGAATTTCTTTTTATTTAGTGTTTTTTTTTTTATTTTTATTTTAAGGTACATTTCCAATTGATTTAACCAAGACACGGCTCCAGATTCAAGGCCAGACGAATGATGCAAACTTTAAGGAAATTAGATATCGAGGAATGTTGCATGCATTAGTGAGGATAGGCAGAGAAGAAGGGCTGAAAGCACTCTACTCGGGGTGAGTGGGCCTTTGTGCATTTCTGTGTCACTGTTCACTGTTTCAGATGGGTCGCCTTCAGACCAAGACTTCACAGATCAAAAGTAAAAAGTTTGAGGTGTGTTTGAACAGAGCAAATGGCATGATACATGATTTTTCACTTTTAATTTCAACTCTAGGTTTTAAGTATGTATGTTATGTAGCAAATGTTTTGGCGAAACTGTTTTATTATATTCAAGTGCAGACAGACAATAAAAAAAATTATGTTTGTTTAAAAGAACAGTTTTCTGTTCAGCTTTTCACTCTTTGAAAATAGCTCTTTTTCTTAGATATTCTGACTTAGGGAGGTTTTTGCCATGATGAAAATTATATATTGATAAGATGCGGTGAACTACTTTCCATCCTTTCAGCATTTAAGGAACAGTATTCTGTAGGCACTGGACTGGAAGGTGAGTAAGACCGATATCAGAATACCTGCAGGAACAGAGCATGGACAGCTGCGGGCCATGCTCATCAACTTGATTTTATCCGTATACCACAGTTCCCAAACTGGTGACCCACAGCCCCGCCATGGATCCACCAATCCCAAAATGTTTTTGTTTTTTAATTGAGCGAATATTTAAAAAATGAGAAATTGCCCATAAAAACCTGAGATTCCATCTTCTCTAGAGAAGTCAACATCAGGCCCACATTCGTTCACTTATGACAATAGTATCTGGGGTCAAGGATACTGTCTCTGGTTTACTAAACCTCTGTCACTCACATAGTGTATGTGTGTGCAGTTCGACCCAGCCTGCATCATTCACTCATGGCATCTGCTTTGTTGGTACCTGTCAGCATTTGAGTTTGCTATGTCTGTGGCAGACAGAAGCCACTGAAAGAGTTTAAGTAGGAGGATGGACCTGATCAGCTTACATTGTAAACATCGTCTGCCTGCCATGGAGAGAAAGAATTAAGAGACAGGGAGCACTAGAAGCAGGACTGCCATATAGGAAGCCTGGATGAGGATCTGAATTGGTTTTGGGGGATGGGGAGAAAGAAGACAGGCTAGAAAACCATCTAGGGTATAGGATTGATAGCACTGTGTGGCCTAATATATAAGGTTCCCATACATGAAGGGGGTAGTAGGGAAGGAGGAACCAAGGCTAATGTCTCAATTGCTGGTTTTTGCCAGTGTGTAGCTGGAGGGTCCATGCCTTGGTCTAGGAAACAGAAGAGGAGGGAAGATTGTTTGGAGAAGAGAAGTAGTTGTGTGGGACCCTATCTGAAGGTATACACAGGACATCTAAATTGAGAATCGAGGCACATTGGAAATGTGTCTTTGGATCTGTGTTGGGAGCATGGATTTGGAGTCATCAGTCTTTATTTTATTATTTATTCATTTATTTATTTTGATACAGGGTCTTGCTTTGTCACCCAGCCTGGAGTGTAGTGGCACGAAATGACTTACAGCAGCCTCTCCCTCCCAGGCTCAAGCGATGCTCTCACTGTAGCCCCCTTCATAGCTGGAACTGTAGGCACAAGCCACCACACCTAGCTATATATATAATATATATTTTCATAATATTACATATTATATATATTTATAATATTATACACACACATATATATATTTTTTATTTATTTATTTTTGAGACAGTCTCCCTTTGTTGTCAGGCTGGAATGCAGTGGCTCGATCTCGACTCACTGCAACCTCTGCCTCCCAGATTCAAGCGATTCTCCTGCCTCAGCCTCCCGAGTGGCTGGGATTACAGGCGCCACATCCGGCCAATTTTTTGTATTCTTAGTAGAGATGGGGTTTTACCATTTTCGCTAGGCTGGTCTTGAACTCCTGACCCCAAGTGATCCACCTGCCTTGGCCTCCCAAAGTGCTGGGATTATAGGCGTGAGCTACCGTGCCTGGTGCTACTTTTATATTTTTCACAGAGTTAGGGTTTTGCCATGTTGCCCAGGCTCATCTCAAACTCCTGAGCTGAAGTGATCTGCCTGCCCTGGCTTCCCAGAGTGCTGGGATTATAGGCTCGAGCCACCATGCCCAGCCAGTCTTTAGATCATACTTGAAGCCTTGGGAGTAGTTGAGCTCACACAGGGAACATGTACAGTAAGGAGGGACGAAGCACAGCATAGAATTCTGGGAAACCCCAGTGGGCACAGGTAGGATGCTGTGGAGAAAAGAAAAGAAGTAGGAGAGGGTAATGCTACCGCAGAACAGGGAGGAGACAGCTACAAGTAGGACAAAGGGTAAACTGGCACACACCGCAAAGAGCTTCTACAAGATCCTACTGAAAAGCCTCATTTAACTTAGCAACAAAGATGTCAGGTGGTCACCTTGATAAGGGAAGTTTGAGGGTGAGGGCAGCAGAAACCCTGATTGCATTTCGATAAGGAGGTGGGGAAAAGCAGAAAGAGAGCTGGGGAGTGTCGATGCCACAGCGTGGTTGTGGTTTGGAGAGGATAATGGGCAGGTATATCAGATGGAGGAAAGAAGTCTTGCTTGTCCTGGTTCTGTCTTGAACTTGTTCACTGACATTTTCATTGAGAATAAATATGAGAGGCCGGGCTTTCACTTAGTGAGCTAATCATTTTCACAGATTTATCTGGACCCACCTGTGTTTTCATTGGATTCTGAATTTTGAGAAATCGTTTCAGAGGCTGGGCACAGTGGCTCACGCTTGTAATTCCATCACTTTGAGAGGCCAAGGCTGGTAGATCACCTGAGGTCAGGAGTTCAAGACCAGCCTGGCCAACATGATGAAACCCTGTCTCTACTAAAAATACAAAAATTAGCTGGGTGTGGTGGCAGATGCCTGTAATCCCAGTTACTTGGGAGGCTGAGGCAAAAGAATCACTTGAACCCGGGAGGCGGAGGTTGCAGTGAGATGAGAGTTTGCCACTGCACCCTAGCCTGGGTGACAGAACGAAACTCCACCTCAAAATAAAAAAAAAAAGAAATCGTTTTAGAGAACATAGTTTGATTATGGATGGCACTGGGCATGTGGGTTGCCTAGCCAATGTTAAGTGATTTTTAGATTGCTTTTGTCCCTTTGTGCATTGATTTAACAGGATTGCCCCTGCGATGTTACGCCAGGCATCCTATGGCACCATCAAGATAGGCACTTACCAGAGCTTGAAGCGACTGTTCGTTGAACGCCCAGAAGGTGAGTGGGGAATCTGTTTTCCACTGTGGACAGAAGGTGGGTTGTCTTTTCATTCAAGTGGTTCTGGAGCAGATTTTCTTCAGCTTATTTGTGACTTTCCTACTGCTACAGAGAACTGTGGGTGTAAAGTCTTAGTTAATGGTGTTGAAAGCAAGTTGGTTATCAGCTGAATTGGGGGGAGAAACATTGAAAAAAATCATCCCTGCAAACATTTTAATTAGTTGTCTTCATTTCCAAAATGCCTAGACCAGGGGATGTGTTGTTACCATTCTATCTAACTTAGAATTTTCTAAAATCATACAAATTGTCATCTATTTTTCAAGAAAACAGTGAAGACATTTCTTAGCATTAGCCACACTGAATGTTAATACTCTGTGGCTGGTTGTTTCTGTGGCTTTGTTTTAATCCATAGAACTGTCTGTCTGCATCTCTTTTCACAATGGGATGAGTACCAGACACTGTTATGTGAGACTGATGAACAAGATGCTTTGGGAATACTTCAGGATATTTCAAACTAGATACATATGATGTGCTTTAAAAACTTGCTGTGCCAAATAAGTCTTCATGTTATCTCGTAGGAATTATTGTCCTAACAGACATTGCTCGTCTTAATTATGATGGTCTGAATGTATACATAAATATGAGTTGGGGCCAGGTTCGGTGGCTTTTGCCTGTAATCCCAGTGCTTTGGGAGGCTGAGGCGGCCGGTCACTTGAGCCCAGGAGCTCCAGACCAGCCTGGGCAACATGGTAAAACACCATCTCTACAAAAAATGCAAAGTATTGCCACGCGTGAAGGTGCACACCTTCAGTCCCAGCTACTCAGGAGGCTGAGATGGGAGGATCACCTGAGTCCAGGAGGTTGAGGCTGCAGTGAGCCGTGATTGTGCCACTGCACTCCACCCTAGATAGCAGAGTGAGACCCTATCTCAAAAGAACACAAATAAAATCACATTTAGATATCAAGAAATTTTTCAAAGCAAAATTCATTTGTTAGTGAAATTTCTAATCCTTTTTAAATTACTTGATTTATGAAGCATACTTTTTTTTTTTTTTTTGAGACTGCTTGTTGCTCTGTCGCCCAGGCTGGAGTGCAGTGGTGTGGTCTTGGCTCACTGCAGCCCCTGCCTCTTGGGTTAAAGTATTTCTCCAGTCTCAGCTTTGGAGTAGCTGGGATTACAGGTCCACACTACCACACCCGGGTAATTTTTGCATTTTAGTGGAAATGGGGTTTTGCCTGTTGGCCAGGCTGGTGTTGAACTCCTGACCTCAAGCGATCTACAGGCCTCGGCCTCGGCCTCCCATAGTGCTGGGATTACAGATGTGAGCTACCGTGCCTGGCCTGAAGCATAAAGTTTTTAATCTTAAGGTGAACATGTATTGTGTAAATAAGTTAGACCTGTAGTTGAGTTTCTCACAGGAAGAACTCTGTAAATAAGTAGAGTCAAATAATGTGTCATTGTTTACAGATGAAACTTTACCGATAAATGTGATATGTGGAATTCTCTCTGGAGTCATATCTTCAAGCATTGCTAATCCAACTGATGTTTTGAAAGTAAGCTGTGCTATCTATATCTTATAGGCACATTCCACATTTTCTTAATGAGAACAACACTCAGGTAATGGAATCTGTGAATGTAACATCTGTGTATATGTGAATATGTTTATAATTTAAGTGCTACGAAGACTCTTAACTTTCAAATGTCCACGAGGTGGGTTTCCCACTGATACAGATGAGCTCAAAAGTAGAGCTCATTTTGGAGACAAAGATTTTGGTGATTGAGCAGAAAAAAAAATATTTAGGCTTGGATTGCATTTCATTTTTGTTTTCATTGAAAATCTTCCTTGTTTTATTGGTTCATTAAATATAGATGGGCTGCAAGTTTTGCACAAATCTAGGCTGCTCATTAATGATTGTTTTTGAATGCATCTTCTTTGTTAAATTTTATTTCAGGAAATACAAATGAAAAAAAAATTAATTACTATAATTAGATTACATAACACGTTAGGTGACCTTATTGAAAATACTCGGGATATAGCCTCCTTAAATCCTTTTTGGAATAAAGCAAGGAAGCAACTAATTAAATAAACAAAAAATTTGGCATGACTTACTTCATGAACCCTCTCAGAGTATTCCTTTCCTACCGTCCCTCTTTTCATTTTCTGCCCCACTGTTTAGTATTCTATGTTTCTGTCTTGAACCAGTTGGTATATGCTGTGGTTAGAATCCAAAAATGAGTAAGATAAGGACCCTGCCCTCAGAGAGCCTTCAATCTAATAGGGGATTCCAACAAGCGTTACAGTCATCTGTAGTCTGCTGGGTACACTACAATTATACATGCACAGTAGTGAAGGGACCGCATGGGTAAGGAAGAAAATACAAGGCACCTCTGCCATAGTTTACCAGTGTTCGGGTAAGAGAGCTAGAGAAAAATATTCACACTCTTACTAATTTCTTAATCATGTCTTAGGCCTTATGGGAAGGCAGTTCCTGTACCTTGGTTTATTTTCCCATGTTAATGTGGCAATAACAGTTCCTTTAGAAGTTGGTGGTAATGTGTTTGCTCCCTAAACAAAAATAAGGTTTACATTTTTTAGTAAAAACTCTTTTTTCATTCTTAAAAATGCAAAGAGCTACATCAAACATTATGTTTATGTTGGAATCTTGGTCATGTGGATTCCACTAAAGTGTAACAGAGTGTAAGAGGCATCGTGTGGCTGTCACGTGGCCAGCTGGCCTGCATACTTTCTGGTTCAGCTGGTTGGAGACGGTAGTGGCTTGGAGCAGCTAATTTAAGAACTATGCTTGCCTATGCTTAGTGCTGCCAAGTACACTGGATAACTCATTAATTATATTAAACCTTTGGAATTTAATATTATTTTTTCTCTCACCTACGTAGTAACCTGTAGGGAAATATACTGTTTCCTATCCTTCTAGAAAGACTTTTTTCACAAAATCAATTTCTTTTTTGACACTTAATGAACTGCTGTGTGTAGGACTCTGGACTCTCCTAGATACTTTTTTGGAGATTGTTCCTAAGAATAAATTTTTATATGTTTTAGTCATTTTAAAATAGCATCATAGCAGTATTTATAGGACAGTTTTTTCCCTTCTAATGGTTATTAAGCAACAGACCGACTGACTGTCAGAGGTGTACATTGGTTGGGGGTAGGATTGTGGTAGTTTCCTTCTGATGTTGGTCTTTAAAATCTCTAGATTCGGATGCAAGCGCAAAGCAGCACCTTTCAAGGAGGAATGATAGGCAACTTCATGAACATTTACCAGCAAGAGGGGACAAGAGGACTGTGGAAGGTAAGCTTGAAGGATGCATCCAACTGACTTCTGTAGTTATTTTTCCTTTTTTGAATTTATTTGTTCTATTTCTGTCAATTTTAATCCAAGTGTCATAATGGAGTAAGGGAGGAAGTGTGGCATCTTCTCCCCTTGAAAATATCTTCCTTTATTTCCTATCTATAAAATGGAACTATAAGAAATATGTCATGTTTTTTTTTTTTTTTTTTTTTTTTTTTTTTTGAGATGGAGTTGCACTGTGTGACCCAGGCTGGAGTACAGTGACGCGATCTCGGCTCACTGCAACCTCTGCCTCCTGTATTCAAGTGATTCTCCTGCCTCAGCCTCCTGAGTAGCTGGGATTACAGGTGCGTGCCACCGTGCCTGGCTAATTTTTGTATTTTTAGTAGAGAAAGGATTTCACCATGTTGGTCAGGTTGCTCTCAGATTCCTGACCTCAGATGATCTGCCTACCTCAGCCTCCCAAAGTGCTGGGATTACAGGCGTGAGCCACTGCGCCCAGCCTATGTCATGATTTTTAAAGTTTGTTTTGAATAATTTATGTATAAGATGTTGTGTGAAGGGTAAGCACTTTTTTTTTGGTTTTTTTTTTTTTTTTTTTCGTTTGTTTTGTTTTAATATGGAGAAGGATTTTAGGTTACAGTTCCATTGGTTGTTTAGATCCATACAATTTCATGACTCGTAAGTGAAATCGTAGCATGCACGTGGTGTAGAGTGTTAATTTCCTAGTATTCTAATGGCTTGTCAGTTCATAGAATAGCCCCTAAAGATCATCCAGCGTGATCTCTCAGTTCATACAAGGAAACCGGAGGCTCTGAGAGGTGACTTGTCCTGGCCAAAGTCTGGCCCAAGGCCATATGCTTAATGCCAGCATCAGAATTAGACTTCAGAGTTTTTGAGTTCTTGACCTGTGATCTTTTCCTCTCTGTCACTCTACATTTCTGCTTCCCCAGAGGAAAACATAAAAATTGATCATAGTTCATGGAGTAGAACCTTTGCACATTTGCAAGGCTTGTTCTACAGAGGCATATCCGAATCATTTTTATTGTGAATATTTTTACCCAGGGTGTGTCCCTTACTGCGCAGAGGGCTGCTATTGTTGTTGGTGTGGAGCTGCCAGTCTATGACATCACCAAGAAGCATCTTATTCTCTCGGGCCTGATGGGAGACACTGTGTATACCCACTTCCTGTATGTGTATGGGTTTTAAAAAAATTAATCTTTTAGGTATGCATGAATTTGGGGTGGAAATTTGGCACACATTTGTAGAAATTCTAAAGAAAGTTTATTATAAAAGTATTATATTCTCATATGCACACGTATGTTCATTGCGGCACTGTTTACAATAGTGAAGACCTGGAACCAACCCAAATGCCCATCAATGATAGACTGGACAGGGAAAATGTGGCACATATACTCCATGGAATACTGTGCAGCCATAAAAAACGATGAGTTTGTGTCCTTTGTAGGGACATGGTTGAATCTGGAAACCATCATTCTTAGCAAACTGACACAAGAACAAAAAACCAGGAGGATCACTTGAACCTAGGAGTTCAAGACCAGCTTGGGCAACAAAATGAGGATCCATTTCTACAAAAAATTTAAAAATTAGCTGGGCATGGTGATGCCTGCCTGTGGTCCCAGCAACATGGGAGACTGAGGCAGGAGGATCACTTGAGCTCAGGAAGTTGAGGCTACAGTGAGCCTTGATTGGGCCACTGAACTCTAGCCTGGGCAACAGAGAAAGACCCTGTCTCTAAAATAAAATACAATACAACAACATATTTCAAATATCTTTGAGTGCTTACAGACTTCATGTCAGTGCTTATAGACTTTATTTATTTATTTATTTGAGATGGGATCTCACTCTGTTACCCAGGCTGGAGTGCAGTGGTGCGATCTTGGCTCACTGCAACCTCTACCTCCTGGGCTCAAGTGATCCTCCTCCCTCAGCCTTCCAAATAGCTGGGACTGCAGGTGCATGCCACCACACCCGGCTAATTTTTGTATTTATTATAGAGCTGAGGTTTTGCCATGTTGCCTAGGCTGGTCTTGAACTCCTAGATTTAAGTGATCCACCCGCCTCAGCCACCCAAAGTGCTGGGATTACAGGTGTCAGCCATTGCAGGCCTGGCCTTCATTTATTTTTAATAGCTGCAGATTATCACATTGTATGGATGTGATACATCCATACGATAAATACTGCTGACATCTAGTGAGGAGAGGCCAGGGATATAGCTAGTGCTGAGGCTGAGAAAACTTGCTGTGAGTTAATTGATATAAAGTATGGTTGGTAGTAGTCTTATGGGACTGAAAATATAGCAGAACCTAAGACCTTTGTGGGGCATGATAGTAAGGAGATATTTTTCTTTGATCTCTAGGAAACAATGTGATTATGATATGGCTAGAATTACTCTGATGCCTACTTAAAAGTAAATAGATGGAAAAGATCATCCTTGGAGGATTTCCTCTATGTTTTATGATCCTTTGACATTCTAGAATCTCAGGTATTCTTAGCTGTGGCTGTGATTGATCAATTAGTATAATTGGTGCTAATATTTAAGCAGTTTATCAAGCTCTCTAGACATGGCCCTTCTTGACATGTATCATGTTGTTACATGTTACTTTAACATAGTTTTGGGGCTGGGCATGGTGGCAAAAGCCACACAAACAAGAAAACCCTATAGTTTTGGGATAGAAGTTGTTTCCTGCCTTTGATGGTGGTTGTAGCTCAGTGGTGGTTAACTTTTTTTTTTTCCAATGGTGTCCTCATAGTTCAAGCTTCACCTGTGGTCTGGCAGGGGCCCTGGCCTCAAACCCTGTTGATGTTGTGAGGACACGTATGATGAATCAGAGAGTCCTTCGAGATGGCAGATGTTCTGGCTACACAGGAACCCTGGATTGCTTGTTACAGGTAAGAGCAAGTGTCTGTCTATGCAGGGTTGTGAATTATCTATTTTTTTGATCTAAGAAGTAACTAAATTGTGAGAGCTACTAAAACTCAGATGAATAATGCTTTACAGCCCTGACATGTACATACGGGATACCATTTTTGCCACACTGCGGTTAATTTGTATAAATACAATGTTGTTTTCTTTATGCCTCTACTCTGCTGTGAAAGGTGAGAAGACAGTAATATTTACTGTGATTATAGAGGAACTGTATCTCCATCCAAAATATACCTTCCTCCTGTTGAGTCAAACTACTATGAATATCCCTTATTCAGGTATCTCTCTTAAAGGAACACATCAATCTTACTTTAATTCTCAGTTTAATTAATTGGGCCTACTGTTTATGAGTACATGAAGGTTTTCAACTGTCTCCCCCACTAGATTGCCAGTAGTCACAGATTAGGGGCCACTTTTTTTTTTTTAAGGTGATAGATATTTTATTTATTTATTTTCAAGTTTTATTGTATTTTAGATTCAGGTAGTTACAGTGGGTACATGTGCAGTGGTGGAGACTGGGCCTCTAATGTACCTATTACCCAAATAGTGATCATTACTCATGATAGATACATTTTCAACTCTAGCCTCTCCCGTTTAGGAGTCCGCAGTGTCTGTTACTTCCATCTTTATGTCTGTGTGTACTCACTGTTTAGTTCCAACTTAAAAGCGAGAACATGTGGGTTTTGATTTTCTGTTTCTGCGTTAGCTTGCTCAGGATAATGGCCTCCATCTCCATCCATGTTGCTGCAAAGAACATGATTTCTTTTTTATGGCTACAGAGGCCACTTCTGTGGTTCCTATTTTCTGGCATGACACTAGCACATTTTACCCTTCAGGTGTTGCCTTAATGATGCACAGACACTTAACGTATTCATCCACCGAACGACTTAGGAAATAGTGGTGCTCTGAGTGATATCTGTACTACTGTTGCTTCGTTATTTCTCACCTGTTCAGGAGCCCACATGGCATGGAAGCAAAATACCTTAATAGGAATTAAATCTGATTTCTTTCTCATTCAACACTGTTTACCTGCTTTGTGTGGAGTTCATTCAATCCTTTGTGCGGGGTTGTTGGTCATGGAGCCTTAGTTCTCTGCCCACATGGAAGCCTCTGAGGAACAAAGAGAGACAAAGAGAGGAAGATTTCTTAGGTGTGCCTTCTAAACAGGATTTTTATTTTTAAGAAAATAAATCAGTCTGACCACTAATTAGTAATGCATTTGGTATAATTAAGAAGTTGGAAGTTAACTTTTTTTTTTCTTTTAACAGACATGGAAGAATGAAGGGTTTTTTGCTCTCTATAAAGGCTTTTGGCCAAATTGGTTGAGACTTGGTCCTTGGAATATCATCGTATCCTTTCTGTGGGACGGGTTGTTCCCTCCCGCTGGTGTTGGTGCAAACTTCTGCCCGGGGCCAGCCGATAACTTATGGCACCAGGCGGGAGCGGACACTCAGATTTGCATGGATAACCCATGGAGCACCTTAGTCTGGTGGGGCTCTTGTGGACCGTGGGTTGCAGGAGGGATGAGATAAGCACAGGATCGGAATCGGAGCACCAAGGGGGTGAAGTCCCCGACCCTCCGAGCCAGCTGCACGTTCTAGGTGGGGACATGCCCCACCCTGTCTCGGTTTGCCCTCCCTGGGTGGCTCTCGCCCTGCTTCGGCTCCTTCCCTGGGCTATTTTCAGAGTCCTACCAGTCCCGCTGAAACGAACCAGCACCTCACTTGGAATCGTGAAGTCCTCTAGCCCTCTGGGTCTCCTTCACTGGGAGCTGCATTCCGGTGTTGCCTCCTCTCGGCCATCTTGGCGCACCTCCAACTTACTTGTTTTTGAGACTGAGTCTTTGTTGCCCAGGCTGGAGTGCAGCGGTGTGATCTCAGGTCACTGCCACCTCCACCTCCTGGGTTCTAGCAGTTCTCCTGCCTCAACCTCCCAAGTGGCTGGGACTACAGGCATTTGTGACCATGCCTGGCTAATTTTTGTATTTTTAGTAGGGATGGCATTTCACCATGTTGGTTTTGAACTCCTGACCTCAAGTGATCCGCCCCTCAGCCTCTCAAAATGCTGGGATTACTGGTGTGAGCCACTATGCCCGTGAGGCAGTTAATTAGGCATGGAAGGGCAGAATGATGAAGCAGGAATGCTGGCTTTCACCGTCTTCTAGTTGCCCTTTATTGGCTGCTGTCTCCCAAGGAAGGCTGCCTAGTGGAAGCCTTTGAGGAGAGCTTCCCAGGGCTTGCTCACTGTACCCCCTGTAAGGTTTATTGCCGAGGTAAAATGAGGAAACTGAGGCAAGTATAAGAAAATGAGAAGCTAATTTATTCGGCTCCTGGGCAGGTTCTGTGGTCCAGGGAGGGGCCAAAGAAGTCGCACCTGGCTGTTCAGGGCGTGGGTTTTTATGGGGAGGCAAGGCAGTTGATTGGCTATTGGGGAAACAAAGCGAAGGCAATCTTATTGGCTGTTAAGAAGCAGGAAATACCTGGAGCTAGTTGCCGGAAATACTTGGAACTAGCTGCCATTGGTAGGTGGGCGGGACCTTGGGTAAGTGGGCCTTGATTGGCTATTGGGGAAACAAAGTGAAGGCAATCTTATTGGCTGTTAAGAAGCAGGAAATACCTGGAGCTAGTTGTTATGGGTAGGCGGGTGGGACCTTGGGTAAGTGGGCCTGCAGACTGCTACAGGGCAGACTGCTACCAGGCAGGGTCTGATGGGGCTTCTTTAAAAAATTTTTCTGCAGGGTTTTTTAACAGCGGGCTGGGGGTTGAATGCATAATTTAGTGCTGAATGTGGGCTTGGGTCTGGTATGCCCAGGCGGGTGTGGGGAAGCTATGCGGCAAGGCCAGATAACGGGTTTGGGTAATGAGGTAGTTTTCAGGCGCGGAGAGAGATGGATGTGTCCGTTTAACCCTCTGTGAGGCAGCCGGCCTTACACCCCCACCCCCCAGAAGCTTACTGTGCTGGAAAGTCTCCTCCACCACAGCAAAGCCACAAAAGCTAATCAGCGTGGATGCCATCTCAGAAGAGGCTGATGCCAGGGGATTTACATATCTCAGCTGTGATCTTTCTGTTCCAAGCTGACCTTGGAAGGCTTATGGGCAGATAGTTTGAGGTGGTTAAGGATGGAACCCCTTTTATGTAATCATGTCCATAGCGTGGGTCTGCTTATACCTATTTGTTAGTAAGTGTACCATTTGTAAATCTGTTGTTATGCACTGGAGTTGCGAAGATGGCATTTTCTTTGTCAACCTTAACCCATAACTACAGTTCTTTGTGACATATGAGCAGTTGAAGAAATTGGATTCATGACAAGTCAAGGCTGCACGAGACATCTTTCTGAAAATGCTAACTTCTGAAACAGCAAAGCTTCCTGCATTTCACTCTGCTTCTTACTGCTTGGCTCATCACAGATTCTGGGATGTGAGCAACAGATGAAGACTGAGGTGGTTGAGATTGCTGTGAAGGCATTGGATGCTCTTCATCAAACGTTTAGTGGCATAAACTAACATCTAAACACTAGTCTTTACCACTGAAGCGCCCTTCAACATCTGCTATAATATATGAAATGCATGTTTCTTGCTAAAGAAAACTTGCAAGAAAATCGGGAGCTGTGTATTGCTTTATTCAGGGAGGGTAGCTCCTGATGCATCTCAGCTCATAACTGAGAACATCAGACTGCTCTAGAGAAGCTCATTAGAACCATGGGATGGAGGCTCCAAGAAGGTATTATGGTTTCTGAATTTCTGGGAGCTTTTGCTTCTTGTCAGCTGAAGAAATTTCATGTATGGAAACCTGAACTGTTCAACCCCAGGTATAAACAGTGCAGGAAATGGAGCCTAGGGATATCTCACTACTTAATTTCCTCAATTTGGCAGGATCTTCCACTTATAATAAGTGATTTTAAGCCTTTGAAGACTTGACATTTGTGAGAAATTGTTACAAAGTAATAATCTCTAGGTTTGTGGTGGTATGTGTTGGCTTTGAAGGTTGCAAGGTCTGTATTGGTGGGAGGTGTTTTCAAGCAGCTTGGGTTCTGTCTTAGTTCATGTTAGTAATTCGCTTTATGATTTTTAGCAGAGTATATGTATTTTTCAATGTGTAAAAGGGGGATAATAACATCTACTGATGTAGAGGGTCAAATGAAGAACAAATAGTAGCTGCTGCTACTTGACTTGAAAGGTAAGTGTGTTTACGTCATGCTGTAGAACAGCTATAAACAGTCTGTGTAGAAGGGGTCATGCTGTCATGGGCTTCTCATGGTAATTGTGAGTGAAGCCCTTTGTAAAGCCTTGTTAAAGAACGCTGCCTAAGTTCAGGCTTTAATACATATTCCTCAGCAAAATGTTGGTAGTGAATCAAAGAGTTGATTTTTCCAGGTTTCCAATTTTTACTTTAGTTTGTGTTGGACCTGTCTTGGACTTCCTAGTTAGTTTGGATGGAAAATACCTGCTTGAAATTTTTAAAATGATTCTTTAGTGCACCTAACTTTAGCTTGTTTCTGATAGGTGGTAGTCATATTTTCCCTTTTTCTTTCCTTCTATAGACACATTAAATCATTCTCCCTCTTTTTTTCCTTTTCTGTTTTCTTCTTTTCTTTAACCTGCTTCAGAGAAAGCCCTCTTCTTGTCTTCATCTTATTCTTTTCAAAATAAAAGGTGACTGTGAGAGCCCAAAGTACTTCTACTTCTGGGAGGCAGCCGCAGGACGGGGAACATATTCACTTGGGTCCCTTCGGTTCCTGCTTTGAGAACAGTACAAACATGCCAGCTGCTGCTCCTGGGCATTCTCCTTCCACGCAGTGCGGGCAAATTCCCAGTTTGGCTAGTCACTTCGTTGAGACAGAATAGAAGGAATGCAGGGTTTTTGGGGAGATCGGATAATTTTTCCTCCCAGGCATTTTCCTCTTGCCTGCCTTATGAGTGAATGGTCCCTTTGAATATTATTTCCAAAAGCGAGAGCTAAGACAGAGTCATCAAAAAGAGAGGATAAAAGAAGGGTGGTAGGGTGACCTGTTAATTGCTTAGACTCAGATGACTAACTCCAGCTCTCCCTGGGCAACCCTAGAGGGCAGCAGAGGACCCAGAGCTCATTCAGGCCTTGTTCCTGGTTTCTAAACTACGCCTTAGAAATTTTTTTCTTCTTTCCAAAACATTCCATTGATTTGATAAAGACTTTCTATAGAGAGGCTTTCACTTTTAAGTTCTTTGAGTTTAAAGGATTGCTTTTCTTGAACCACTTTTTTTTTTTTTAGAAAAATTGTATTTTTTCAAATGTGCACACAATTTTTAAAATAATAGAAGCAAAGTCATTTTGAAGACCATGTAAAGAGTGAATGTCAGACAGTATTCATTGTTACCAATTTATTCAAATTACATACATGTTCGTACCAAGATGGAAAGAAATTCAATCTTCATGGTAAAACTTAAGCACGATTTAGGACAAAAGCATAGTATTTCTTCAGTGTAGATTTATTAAGTGCCTTATTGAACAGGATCTTAATGTGCTTTTTCCGTTTTTGAAAGAGTTAATGCAATTGTTGAAGGTTCTAACCAAGAAACAACTTAAGGAATTGGGAGACTTGGTCCCCTTGTTTTCAGGGGTCTGGCCATAAGTCCCTTCCCACCTTGGGGTATTCTTAAATATGCCAAAAGGAGTTCTAGTTTTTATAACCAATGGGCTTTTTTTGTTTGTGTGCTTATGGATTTGTGTAATCATTGATGCTTAATGTTGTAGATTCGTAATATAAAAAATGGCTCCTGTCCTTTATATTTATTCATGTGCTAGAAGTAGTATGCGTTATATAAAGAGTGTGAAGTTTTCATAAGCCTTTATATTTCAAGCTCTTTATTTAAACATTGTTGAAATATATGGCATAAGGCTTGTTTCATTTATTTAATAAACTGGAGTAATATATAAAAATAAAAATGATTTCTGGTTATTTCAGATACATAGAAACATTCAAACAAAGGCAAACTCCATAGAGTCTGGAAGGCTGGAGTAGAAAGAGTGTTTGTAAAAGCAGCTGCAGCCGTTTCTCTCTGCATGGAGAAGTTGCTGGGATCATCTTACTCCTTGCCTGGCACCTGTGTGACCTCCCCACGTTGTATGAAATACCTGGCAGGTCAGTTGAGGCCAGTGAACTTGATTTGAGGGCTGGCTTGGCATTCGAAATACCAGTGGGATGACATCAGTGTCATGAACTGTCAGGCTCCCTCAGCCCTTCTTACCATGCTGGGTGTTGCTAGAGTCAGATGCAGGGATCCTTGGTCGACTGTGGACCAGGCAGGGACACCTGGTTGGCAGAAAACAACCAGCGAACTCAATGTGAAGTGGTTTCGTTAATCTTTTTACTTGAAAGTGTTCTGTAGCTGCCTGTTTTAGCACTTGAATTAAACGTTGTAGTTTATTTAAAAACTAACATTGTGGGCAGGGTGCGATGGCTCATACCTGTAGTCCCAGCGCTTTGGGAGGCCAGAGAGGGTGGATCACTTGAGTTCAGGAGTTCGAGACGAGCCTGGCCCACATGGTGAAACCCCATCTCTACTAAAAATACAAAAATTAGCTGGGTATGGTCGCGTGCGCCTATAATCCCAGCTTCTCAGGAGGCTGAAGCAGGAGAATCTCTTAAACCCGGGAGTTGGAGGTTGTGTTGAGCTGAGATCACTGCAGTCCAGCCCGGGAGACAGAGTGAGACCCCATTTCACAAAACATAAATAAATGCTAAATCTGGGGAAAGAGGGGAGCTATTTGTTTTTGTTTTTGTTTTTTTAATTTTATTTTTTAGAGTGGTTATAGCAAAATTAATGGATGGTACAGAGATTCCCATATACCCCTGTCTCTTCCATCATCAACGTTCTGCACCAGAGCAGTGCATTTATTATAACTGATGAACCTATTTGATGCATCACTGTCACCCAGAGTCCATAGTTTACAGTAGGGTTCACCCTTGGTGTTGTATATTCTGTGGATTTGGATGCATGTATAGTGATGCATATCCACCATTATAATATCATATAGAACAGTTTCACTGACCTAAAACTGGGGAGATGGCCCCAGTTTTCCTACCTAAGAGACTGAATGACATACCCATATACGGTTGCCTCCATGTGAGGGGCAGTGAGAAGAGCTGGCTGCTGGTGTGTTTCAAATGCCTACGAACAGTGAAATCCTCACTTGGATGGTGGTACCTGATAGACATGATTGGCTTTAAATCCAGGATTTTAATTTTTAAACCTGCAGCTGGGGAAATGTGACAGGGTAAATTTTGGTAGATTACAAGTAGATTCATTCTGTGGCGAAGCAGGGGAATATAAGACAAAGGCAATGTATGAATCTGTTTCTCAAAAGGTTAAATAGTGAAACTATGAGTACCAAGAGCAAAACACAGGAAATAACTGATATGTCTGTAAGCATCCCCTGCTTACCAGACTATGGTCCCTCTGTATAATGGCTTGCTTGCTATGTTCTTTTTTTTTTGGAAATGAAGTCTCCCTCTGTCACCCAGGCTGGAGTGCAGAGTGCAGTGGCATGATCCCGGCTCACTGCAACCTCTGTTTCCCAGGTTCAAGCGATTCTCCTGCCTCAGCCTCCCGAGTAGCCAGGACTACAGGCACCTGCCACCATGCCCAGCTAATTTTTGTAATTTTAGTAGAGACAGGGTTTCACCATATTGGCCAGGCTGGTCTTGAACTCCTGACCTCATGATCCACCCACGTTGGCCTTCCAAAATGCTGGGATTACAGGTGTGAGCCACCGTGCCCAGTCTGGCTTCTGGCTTGCTATGTTCTTCATGAGAAGAATGAGTTCCATCTCAGCCTGCTGAGACTACTTTTTTTTTTTTTTTGAGACAGGTTCTTGCTTTTGCTGCCCAGGCTGGAGTGCAATGGTGTATGATAATGGCTTGAGCCTGGCCAATTTTTGTATTATTACTAGAAATAGGGTTTCATCATGTTGCTCAGGCTGATCTCAAACACCTGGACTCAAGCGATCTGCCTACCTTGACCTTCCAAAGTGTTGGGATTACAGGCATGAGCCACCACGCTTGGCTGAGACTCCTTTATGGGCAAAGAAATCAAAACTTCTGTCAGCTAGTGTTCAGTTCAGGCTGAGATGAATTTTTTAAAATTGTGAAATATACACAACATAAACGTTTACCATCCTAACCATTTTTAAGCGTACAGTTCAATGACATTAAGCACATTTTCATGATGTGCAACCATCACCCCCATCCATCTCCAGAAGTTTTTAGAAATGAATGGTTTTGAATAGATTTTGGTTTTTAATTCATTTAGCATTGTGTGTCCTTGTGGCCCTGTTACAGGCCCAAGTTGGAAGGTAAGAGCCCCAACTTCCATCTGAATACTTGGATTTTTCATACTTGAGAGGTTCCCACAGTTCCCTGACCTGATATGGAAATATCAATTATCGTGTCAAGCAAATATTTTTCATTTAACCAGCCTACTTCCTGGGCTTCAAATCCTTTCATAAGAGGAACAAAGCCAAATACCAGCAGTTGGTGATTGCTGTTTAGCTTGCTCTACAGTGCTGTTCCTCAGCATTACTATATCTATACACAGGCACGGCTTCACCGAACACAATACAGAGTGGCCCAGTGCACAGTTGCTTTTGAGTTGTGTAATAACTGGGGGTGCCTGTAAAAGTCCCAGCACTTTGAGAGGCCAGGGCAGGAGGGTTGCTTGAGCCCAGGTGTTCAATTTTTTTTTTTTTTTGAGACAAAGTCTCTGTCACCTAGATTACAGTGCAGTGGTGTGACCTCAGCTTACTGAAACCTCCCCCTCCTGGTTCACATAATCCTCCCCACTCAGCCTCCTGAGTAGCAGGGACTACGGGTAGATGCCCCACTAATTTTTAAATCTTTTGTAGAAATGGAAGTCTCCCTATATCTCCTAGGCAGGTCTTGAACTCCTGGGCTCAAGAGATCCTCCTGCTTCGGCCCCCCAAAGTGCTGAGATTACAGGCAGCAGCTGCCGTTCCCGGCCTCAAAAATTTTTTAAAAATTAACTAGGTGGCCGGGCGCGGTGGCTCAAGCCTGTGATCCCAGCACTTAAGGAGGCCGAGGCAGGTGGATCACGAGGTCAAGAGATCGAGACCATCCTGGTCAACATGGTGAAACACCGTCTCTACTAAAAATACAAAAAATTAGCTGGGCATGGTGGCGCGTGCCTGTAATCCCAGCTACTCAGGAGGCTGAGGCAGGAGAATTGCCTGAACCCAGGAGGCGGAGGTTGCGGTGAGCCGAGATCGCGCCATTGCACTCCAGCCTGGGTAACAAGAGTGAAACTCTGTCTCAAAAAAAAAAATTAACTAGGTGTGTTGGTATGTGCCTGTAGTCCCAGCTTCTTGGGAAGCTGAGGTGGCAAGATCTCTTGATCCCAGGAGTTTGAGGCTACAGTGAGCCATGATTATGCCACTGCACTCCAGCCTGGGGGACAGAGCAAGATGCTGTCTCTAAAAAAACAGACAAGCAAACATACGAAAACAAACAAATAAAAAACTGGTGTGGCCAAGTAACTCAGAAGTTTGCCCACCACGACTTAGCCATGACCGTATGCTGAGGCATGGGGCAGCTGGAGGTTACGGCAGATCCCACAACTGGGACAGGAACCGTGGCGTGCTGGAACTGGTCCAGCAGTGTGCAAGAGCAGATTGTCACATTTTCAGGAATTTTGTGAGCTGGTTGTTACAGACATTATTAACAAGTTATATAAACATAGTTAAATAGATTATATAAGACAAAGGCGATAAATAAGCTTCACCCCTTCCTAATTATTCACTAGTGTCTGCGCTCTTGAGGTCCTTTCTGTCTATTGTGTCTGCCTGGTAGAAATACTGTAAAATGTGCTATTGCACATCTTCGCAGCTGCACGTTGACATTGTTGATAGCTTGACATTGGCCATGTTGGGAGTGCTTGTACTGCAGATACTGACAGATGCTACAAGTCAAGCCTTTGTTTTGTTTTTGCCCTCGAGAGCTGGTTGTTAAACATTTGCCAGCATTCTGCTCGCCACTGGGTAGGAGGGTGAACAGAGCCAGGTAGAATGTTCTATGAAGCTAGACACCTGCCCCGGTGGGAACGTGCTCATGCAGACGTTGTTATTTTGCATCATATGTGGACCTTCAACCAAGATTATAAAAAATCCATCCCTTGACTATGTCCCACAAGAGGGCCCAGAGGACACTCCCTTTAATGAGGTATTAGGAAATGTGCAGGCTGGATGTGGTGGCTCACGCCTGTAATCCCAGCACTTGGGGAGGCCGAGGCGAGAGTATCACTTGAGCCTAAGAGTTTGAGTCCAGCCTGGGCAATGTAGGGAGACCCTGTCTCTATAAAATTTTAAAAACTTAGCTAGGCATGGTGGTGTATGTCTGTAGTCCCAGCTACTCGGGAGATTGAAGTGGGAGGATTGCTTGAGCCCAGGAGATCAAGGCCACAGTGAACTGTGACTGTGCCAGTGCACTCCAGCCTGGTGACAGAGTGAGACCTTGTCTTGAAAAAAAAAATGTGTGAAAGAGAGCTCCATTTTCCTTTAGAAGCTTTGCAGTGGGTGTCCTCTGCCTGCTGGGGATGATGATAAGAAACGCTGCTCTTTAAGAGGGCTTCCTAATTTTAGAGACCAAGTGACAATGTTTAACACCAGAGACACACTGGGCACAGTTACTTTCATAGACAGCAGGGCCACAGTGGTAAAATGAATGTTTTCGACTTGTGATGATCTTTGGTAATATCTCTAGGAATAAAATAGGTAGTCTACTAAAATATAAGTTGATCTACATAATTGGAAATTATCGGGTAAGTAGAGTTCTAATTTGGATCACCATAATAGTCATGGCCCCTCCCCCAGTTCTAGGATCTGAACAATTTTGCAGACTGGAGCCCACTGACATTGCTGCAATATATATATAG